AACATTCGCCATAACTTTTTAACTCAGAGAGGTAGAGACTTGATATTTGGCAGGCGTACTTAACTTAAAAAGACACCAACTTCAATGACCTTGTGACCTTTTTTTTTTTTTTTTTTTTTTCATGTTTTTTATTTTTTTATTTTTTTTTTTCCCAATTATTTATTCAATAACATACAATATAACAGAGAGGTAAAACTTCCACAGAAGCCCTCTGATAATACCTCACCAGGGGTGCCAGGAGCTCCCTGGATCGATATAGTATTATGTAATATATCTCCAAAATTTGAACAGAATTTTTTCACATTATGCTAATATAAAATTATTGACGCTTCATTTTCATACATATCTCAAAGAAAATTAGCACCATTTTTACATATGATAACAAAGTATACGTTTAACACCATTATACTAATATATGATTATTGACGCTTCATTTTCATACATATACATAAATATCTCAAAGCAAATTAGCACCATTTTTATATATAATAACAAGGTATGCATTTAACACCAATAGAAATATGACCCTTGTTGCAGTGGAGATTGTGTGGAAAAAAGAAAGAAGTCTATATCAATCTCACTGTAACTAGTATTTAGGGCCAGGTCACCCTCAAATACGGGTCTTTTTGTGTTTTACAACCTATAAACAAGATCAATATGTAGAGTTTTGTGATAATAAAATTAGATTATAATAATACATCAGAATGAATGAATTTTACAAAGACATGAATATTTTTCCTCACATACATAGTTTGAATCTGGCATTACATTTTCATTTGATGATCTATTAATTTATTCATTTTGAACATATTTTAAACATAATGTTTCCAGTTACATGAAAAATAACATAGCAAAAAAGGAATAAATAAATAAAAAAAATAGTGTGCCGTATAGTGGACTTCTATGTGTGAATACATGTATATAGAATTTATCACGGCAGCAGATAATACCGAGAGAAAAAAAAACAAAAACCTAGTGTGCCATATAGTTAATTAATGAATGTGAATACATGTATGTATAATTTATCACGGCAGCAGATAATGCCAATAACCCTATAACTGCATGGTATTAGAATCCCAAGGAATTTTGAAACATATGATTTATTTTCTCTTTGAATTTTGTCAAATCCTGTGATTGTAATAGTAAAAAATTCGATTTCATTTCATTTTTGAATGCATTTTTAATACTGTAGTCAGTTATTTTTAAATTATCATATTTAATTTTATTTCTTGTTTTCCATATGACCCATTTATAAATACATATTAAAATGTTAATAACGGTTCTTTGGGTTTTCGGTTCCTTCAAGTATCCTAATATTATTGTTTGTTGGTCAATTTGTAAAGTTCCATTTAGTTGTAGTACATTTTCAATTATATCTTCTAGTAACTTGAGTGTTGTTTTCACTTTTGCGCAATGGAAAAAGAGATGTTGATTTTCTTCATGATTTTTACACAAGTTGCATAAACCATTGGATAGTCCGATTTTACATAATTTATCTTCAGTATACAATATGTTATGCACGCATTTCCATTGGAATTCTTGAATTTTATTTTTAAATTTCAATTTTGAAATACTGTTCCAAACTAGGTCCCACTGTATGTTATTTTGATAAATATTTTCCCATTTTTCTTGACATTTTGGAATTATTGTCTTGTTCAATATTTTTTCTATGTTCTTTAACTTGATATCTTCAAAGGTTACCACTTTATTACTATCTCTTTTTATGAGTAAATTATTATTCAGTTTATAAGAGAGTTTTATTTCGCTATTAAATACTGAGTTGTTATTTTTCAATATTGGATAAAACTGTTTAGGAATGGCTGATTTTATTTTACTATATTCAAATATCCAACATCTTTTGTCTAATAATTCATTAAAAATGGTGTCATTATATTTAAAACAATTTTCCACATCATTCCAAATGTCTTTAATTTTTAATAAACCACTTTTAATAAATGATTCCACATATAGGCTTTTCCCTTGGAATTGTATAAGTTTATTACCAAAAAGTGATAAGTTAAGTATTTCCTCTCGATTCTCTGGCTCAAATTTTGACTGAAATTCGCTATATGCGATGAGTGCTTTTTTATAAAAAATAGACATTTTATTTAAGAAAATTGGAGATAAATCTGAACAAGTGCATAAGAAATATTCCTGACTTGAATGCATATCTTTACTCCGTAACCAGTATTTACCAATAGCATTCCATGTTTCTAACTTTGAATGCATGATTTTATAAATTGTTTTTATTTGTTTACTTTTTATAAAATTAAAGATATTTGTCATATTCATCCCTCCTTCATTCTTGCTTAAGCAGCACACATTTCTGTCAATTTTATTCAATTTATTATCCCAAATAAAAGACCAGACAATATCGTTTAATTGTTTTGCATATTTATCCGGTATTCCCCTCATTTCGATTTCATAGCCAATAACTGGAATTATTAAATTTTTTATTATCAAGGTTTTCCCTTTGAATGTAAGGTTCCTAGTTTTCCAGACATGCAAGCTGTTCATTATTTTTTCTATTTTTTCCAACCAAATTGCATTAGTATCAATACCATATCCATGATATACCCCCAAAGTTTTTATATTAGTTTTTATCCACTGTATCTTTTTAAATTTTGGTGTTTTACCTTTTGATTTGCCAATAAACAGGCCCTTTGTTTTTGAGAAATTGATTTTTGCCCCTGAGGCTTTTTCATATATTTCTAACACATTGAAGGAATTTATTATAGATTCTTCGTCCTTATTAAATAGCTGAGTATCGTCTGCGAACATATTTATTTTACATTCTATGTGTTGTTCTTCATAAGGAATTAAAATGCCCTTTATCTGCGGATTTTGCCTAATTGCGCAGGCCATAGGCTCTATTTGAAGAACATAAAGTAATGGAGCTATAGGGCAACCTTGTCTTGCTGATCTTGATATTGGAAAATATTTAGATACAAATCCATTAGTTTTAATGCATGTTTTTGATTTAATAAGTAGCATTTTTATCCAATCGCAATATTTTTCACCAAAGTTAAATCTTTTTAATGTTGCTGCTATCCAGCCCCATTCAATTCTATCGAACGCTTTTTGTTGATCTAGAAATATAATTGCTCCTTCTAAATCTTCATTATCAGCATAATCAATAATATCTTGAATCAGTCTATTTGCATCACTTATGTTTCTGCCTTTAACAAATCCTTTTTGGTCTGGATGAATTAATTTTGGTAGTACTTTTTTTAATCTCTCGGCGAGTATTTTAGCAATAATTTTATAATCATTGTTAAGCATTGTTAATGGTCTCCAGTTTTTTATATCTTCTCTTTCATTCCCTTTATGTATTAATGAAATTACTCCTTTTGTTTGTGAGTCACAAAGTGTGGCCCTATGAAATATGTGTTTTAGAACTTTTGAAAATTCATTTTTAATTACATCCCAGTATATCTGATAAAAAGTTGATAAAATCCCATCTTCACCGGGAGATTTATTTGGCTTTAATGACATCACTGCTTGATATATTTCTTTATCGTTTATATCACTATCGAGCATGTTTACATCATAATCGTCTAATTTACATTGCACTTCCGCTAATAATAATTCCCCACTTTCACTATCCCATCCTTCCGTATTAAATAATTTGTAATAAAAATTAATTTGCTCTTCGATGATTGAATCAATGTCAGTTTTATAGGTACCATTTTCTGTTTTTATTCTATTCCATAATTTTTTCTCTCCATTACTCTTTTCTAGTTGAAAGAAATATTTCGAAGGAGCTTCTCCTTCTTTGAACCATCTACATTTTGATCGTATTATTGCCGCTTCTGTCTTATCTATATAAATTTCCTTTATTTTTTGCTCAAGGTCATTTTGATACTCTTTATTAGTTGTAGGTTTGTTTTTAATCTCTTCTAATTCTTTTTCTAATTTCTCAAGTTTTTGTTTATTAACGTTTAATTTTTTTGACATCTCAATACACAATGTTTTTATCTTATATTTAGTTAAGTCCCACCAGTATAGAATATCCTGACAATTATCTAAGCTTTTCTTGTAATTATCCCAAAATTCAACAAATGTTTTACGGAAGTCTTCGTTTGTTAATGTTTTATGATTCATTGTCCATAACCCTGGACCTCTTTGGATATTGTCTATTTGTATTTTCAATGTTGTCAAATCGTGATCGCTAAATGGGAAATGGACAATAGAACAATTGTTTATTTTGTGCAGTATATTTTCACTTGTAAGGAAAAAATCTATTCTTGATTTTGAATTGCCCCTGTGAAATGTGTAACATCGTTTTTCCGGGTTTCGTTCTCGCCAAATATCCTGCAATTCGCATCGTTTAATTAATTCATTAAGTTCTGATACCGCAATATCATTTCGTAAGGGCACGGGATACCTGTCAAGCTGTTTATTTTGTGTGCAATTAAAGTCACCGCATATAATTTTATAATGAGTTGTTTCGTCAAATTTTAGTGAGTTAAAATACTGTTTTCTGTCAACTCCGTTATTCGGTGTGTAGATACATTTAAGGTCTACTTTAAAGTCATTATTGTTTATGCTAACAGTTGTGTCCCTTCCCTCTCTGTCAGAAATAATTTTTGTGATTTTAAATTCGGGCTTTGTGATCATGAATAACATCCCCACACCCCGTGATTCGCTAGACCAATTATTCCAAATAGAATTTGACCCTTTAAATGTTTTCCATTCATTTTCCCACTTTTGTGTTTCATTATCTGTCCCATGTGTTTCTTGTAAACAAATTATATCGTATTTACGTTTACTCAACCATGAAAAAATACACATTCTTTTTTTCTTATCTCGTAGTCCGTTAACATTAATAGAAGCTATTTGTAGAGTCATTTTAAGTGATAATATAATCTAAAAAAAAACCCAGGAAAAACGAATGAAAAAAAAAAATAATATGTACAATATATATACAGGTAGTAATATGTACATGGTAACCAGTCTATGTAACAAAAATCACATTGCTCAGCTCTGTTATTTATAGTTTACATTTTCTGGATTTTACCCTGCTTTTCGGTTGAAGTTGGGGTATTTGAGCTTAACTTCCGTTTTGTAATACTAGGGGTACGAGGAGGACCGTTCGCGGAACAATTGTAATTTCCGAAAATTTCGGCAATTTTCTCGGCTCCTTCGCTACTGACATGCACACCGCTGGGGTCATTGCTGTCATACAGTGCTCTAGTAGCAAGCCCTTGGTCATTTATGAATGTGCTGCACACGTCAATCACTGATAGTAATTTATTTTTTTCACACAATTTTTCAAGGAATTTATTCACATGCCAAGTGTTGTCGTTCATTTTTTTAATCGCGGCGCTTTTTCCTTTCCTGGGTATGACTGTGCATACTGCAATTCGAGCCTCGGGGAAAGTTTCCTGAATCTTGTTAAGACCCATCATTACATTGCCGGTTAAATCCCCGATTTCGTCTTGACATCTGGTAACATCATTTGTTCCTAAATGAACGATTACGTTTTCAGGTGTAGTTTCGTCTAATTTTTTCTTAGCATATTCGAGTAATTGTGACACGTTTTCGTAGGATGACCCAGAGACCGAGGCGTTTAAGATATTTGGTGGAAGCTTTTGAATGCGCTTGCAGTTAGACGCCCCCAGAATAACGGTATTGATCTGATCGTCATGCGTGCCTGCTTCCGTACTGTCAGTTTCGCTTCGTTGGTCTTCGTCGTTTAAAGCCTCTCTGCCTTCATTGATATCTGCGGCATATTTACCATACTTTTGTACCATTTTTTCAGATAGTAACTCGCAGTTTTCCTTACTATGTCCCTCTTCTTTACAATATCTGCACACAGGTTCATTTTCACAGTCTTTGGCTAAATGACCTTGTTTGTTACAATTAAAACAAATTGTTTTGTTTATGGATTTGTGTAGGCATTTGTACGAGGGGTGATCAGATTTTCCGCAATATGGACATTGCGTGCGATTATTATCCGCAAAGATTCTGACCTCGTGATCTCCGAATTTTGTTCTATTTGGTAGAGTAGGTGCACAGTTTAATATTTGCAAGTAACGTGTACCATTTTCAATCGACGTATTTTTAATAGTGCCGTGCTTGATGCTGCCTGCTACTACCTGACCATACTGCATCATATTAGTAGTTATGAAAGTGTCTGGTAGTTCAATAGGGGCATCTTTGATTGTCACATTCGTGATTTGTTTGTCGACCTCATACAATGTAACTGTTCGATTTTTTACCGTTACACCGGACATTAATAGTTGTTCTTTTGTTTGTTCACTTTTTAGAGTTACAAAACACTCCTTTTCTGTTATCTGAATTGCATTGATATCATCAATGTTAATCTTTTCTTTTAGCCCATCTAGTACATCTTCATGAGTTATACCCTTGTAGAATTTTGTCGAAAAGTGTATCGACAGGTTTCTTTGTACCTTCTGCATACTGAGTAGGGCTGAGTAGTGTTCAGTTAGATTTACTACTTGCTGTCGTTTTGATTTTCAAAGTTCAAAATATCACAATCTGATACTCACAGTTCGTTGTATCTAGTTGCGGCATACAAACCACAATACCAATCACACAATTTAAACAGCATACAGCGCTCCAGAATAGGAAAAATATGCAAATAAATTCAATATACTCGGAGCGACCAGAAAAGCCTGCCGTCCATGACAAGGGCCATAACTCTAACCTTGTGACCTTGACTGTGACCTACATGCTTAAAATAGTTCTTTCGTATTTTTACCATAACTTTTGAATCATAGGAGATGGAGACTTCATATTCGGTATGCATATTCCACAAATAAAGTTCTTTCAAATGACATTGAGATCAATGACCTTATGACCTAGACTGTGACCTATATGCTAAAACAGTTTTTTTTTAACTTTGTTACCGCCGACCGCACAGTGTTTCACAAACACATCTTGTTCAATACAAAAAAAGACTTCCTGATCAACATGACCAATTCAAATATTTGATACATATTGACATTGTATTGTAGCTCAAATATTAGATACATATCTGCCTTCTGAAAAAATTATATATCTGTTTAAAGCCTTAAGTACAATCTAGATTCTACTTGTAAACCAGAAACAGGACAGTACTTGATTGGGAACAGCCTAACTAAGACTGCAAAGATAAAATCCGTAACCATGCATACTATTGTTTAAGATTTGACTTCTAGATTGGTTCGAAAGTTGAAATACATGTACACTGTACTACGTTTGAGGGGACTTGGTTATCAGTCGGTCAGGTTATATATGTACATTACCACATTGTTGTAAGCATGAAGCTCTCCTGCTCTTGGCCGCTTGATCAAAACATTTCCTAATCTTTATCTTGATGCCTCAATCTTTATTGTGACGTCATATGACATTGTAAGTGAACATGGGTTTCTTTCCGTCCCAATTGAAATGATCAATTTACATTCATTCAACAGTGTTTCTTATACTGCGACTGGGTATCATGTAAATAGAATGTTCTATCGTTAAAATGATATTGTCCTACGGACCCGGTTTAATGATAGAATTCGTTCCGTGTATTCGTAATGTAGCAGAAAGGAACACGTGCGATAACTCGCATAGTGCATTTACTAGGAACATTCTAGAGAATTCCGAATGTAAACATGGCAGGTAATAAATTTGAATCGAGAGAAAAACATTGAGAAAATTAATTGGATTTTCATATTTATATGGATTATTTTTTGTGGATAAAAGGCATAAGCAATCTCAAGAAGGTTTGTTTTGATTATTTTGGTAGTTATTCCCAATGCAAATCTTTTTACATTCTTCAACATCATTTCGGAGCGGATCCACTCTGATTTGCTACGTTGCAGGTATATGGGACGTATTCTAACTGTGGTGAGGGCCTGTACCGAGACACAGTTAGATCATTCTAACTAGGTATCATGATCAAAGTAAAATATCTTACTTTGCTTTATTTGCAAATAGTCAATATTTTAATGAGCTACAAAATATTAATGATCAAGCTACAAAATATTCTTTCTCATTTGACCACGGTCAGAATGGGAGAAGGTTGTACATTTTGGCCGTGGTTGCAACAATGGGTTATGTATAATTTGACTTGATACTTTGTGGATTAACTACAGAATACTGCATCTGCAGATTCTAAATTTAAAAAAATTCATTTATTCTTTATTCAATTGTAAAAATTGACCTTTAAAATCACATGGGTTTTACATGTTGAAATGCCTTAATCGCTCAGAATTTTGAGTTTTTAATTTTTTGTTACACTAAATCTGTTTCACACAATCTTTACTATTTTCATATAATATTATTTTATAAGAAAAAAAAGCATTGTTTACATACCCTCTGAGTGGTTGTAGTGACCTGATGATCTATTGGTTCCTTGGATTACGACTTAAAATTCCATTTAGGCTAAAGCATAATATTTTCGCTAAAATATTCACAGGACACGCAATAAATTTTCATCTGGATTTGACATAAACTTCATCATGTTCATTGTCCATCACGTTTCTATGCTTACACGTTGCACACATTAGGGCTATTCCACCTACTGAAATCGCATCACAAAAAGGATAAATCATCGCATTTTAGCTGCAATCAATATCAAATAACTATGTTACGATAACTTCGCAAGATGAAGATTTACTTCCAACTTCCACTATGTCGCCATTTTGTTTTTTTACGATTGCAATACGACAAAACGAAATTCGTTAAAAATCGCTATTTTTTTCGGTAAAAAGTGAAAACAGATAAAGGAAAGTCATTTAATACAAATTACAAATAAAAATTATCCAAAAATTATTTTTAATGGCTTAAAATAGCGATGCTGTTTTTTGAATTATCCACTTCCGTTTCAAACCAGCATCAGGATAGGATCAAACCAGGATCCTACTCAAAATCAGCAAGCAAAGGAAGTCAAAATCAGCATAGGAAGCACCAAAATCAGCATTGATGCACAAAATTACCTAGTTTCAATACCAGTTTTCTTCTACATATATACTATCCATACTATAGTAGTGGTCTATATGATGAGGATAAGGATCAAACCAGGATCAGGATAAGGATAACTAGCATCAAAATCAGCAAGCAAAGGAAGCATCAAAATCAGCAAGCATAGGAAGCACCAAAATCAGCATTGATGCTGTAACAAAATTATTTCCCTGCACTGTATATAACTATAGTGTCATATACTATTTATAAAGATGAGCGAATGGAAAGTTTTCTTCTACATATATACTATCCTATTACTATAGTAGTGGTCTATATGATGAGGATGAGCTGCTGACGCCTCGAATGATGGGATTGCGGAAGATGATGCAACACAGGTGGAAGCTTACTCTTTACATAGATATACACCATCCCACAGACACCTCCTATTCTGCTTCTCGCTTGTTTCACTTTCTCTTTCACCGTCTGTTTCACTTTCTGTTTCATCTCTTTCAATTCTTCTCTCTTGCGGTTTCTAGAAAATCTATTACTGCTTCTTCTATTGCTTCTTCTACTGCTCTTTCTAATGCTCGTCCTGTTGCTCGTACTGCTACTGTTCCTGCTATTGCTACTGCTACTACTGTTACTGCTACTGCCCCTGCTATAAATAACATCATCGTCATCACTAATATACACGACATCCATACTCTCCAAAACACTCCGATGGAAATGAAAAATAACAAGAGTCTTGAGTATATATTTAGACATACTTTTGCTTTATTGAAAAATTGTCTTATTGTTCGTATTGTTCGTATTGTCTTATTGTTCGTATTGTTCGTATTGTGTTATTGTGTTATTGTTCATATTGTTCATATTGTGTTATTGTTCGTATTGTTCGTAATAAAAGAGAGGAAAAAACAAATCATTCATCAGTCTAGAAGTGTTATTGGTACTCTGCTCGTAAGAACTTAGGTCGGACAGGTCTTCCCGATAATGACGGGGGCATGTTACGTTAGCGCTCCCATGTCCGTTGTGAGCTAGTAATATCACCCTATATCGGTACACCGTGTTCATATGCAGCAATGCCTCAGAACTTGGATGCCAAACATTTTGCATAACTTTCTTGTTTTTAGTTTTTAGTTGTTCATGAGGGCTTCTTCAATACCATGTCTGCTAGGAAACTTTTCCAAGACTTTACATCCTTGATTCATTTTAAAATCTAATAAAATATAATTAAATTTAAGTAGAACTTAGAGAGACCTACCTGAGCACTTTGTCCACAATCTCTGAGGAAATATCTGTTGATCGGACCAAATAATTCCATCGTTTCTTTGCTAATCAGTAAAAGGCACCAGAAATTTGGAGAAGTCGAATAAATTAATTTCGCATGAATTAATTGCATAGGTCGTCCAATGATTTGGAGACAGAAACACATCGGTTATCAAAGTATCAGTTACTTTTTTAGTCAACAGAAAAATATAAACGAACGACAAAAGACATCTGTTCTCTTCCAATGTCGAAGTCGAAAAAAAAAGTAGCTAGGATTGCATATCTTATTTCTAAGCTTCTGTAAATGCGTGCGCATCTTCTTTATGATTGGTCGGGAAAAAATCGCTTTGGTGACGTAATAAAAATCAATCGTATTTTTATCACAACGAACACGTTTTTCTTCTTTTCAATTTAAGAGACAGTTTATAATTAGAATACATAAGTATCGACACCAAAAATATTGTTCATAGATCCCTTTTATCGACGATATAGAATCATAATTGTAAGGTACAACACCCGAGATGTTTTCGTAGATTCGACAATTAGATGGTTTATTTAAAAACAATGAAAAAAAGACATTTACTAGTTGTAGTTATAAACATTTCGATGTCTTGCTGTTATAAGTATTGAATTATTTTTATTTTATGATGTTTAATACTCTTGATTTTATCCATTGGTAAGAAAAATGGAGTTTGTGGTAATCTCAATCGATATGTGAAAACAGAAATATATAGGTTGAAAATATCTGCATTGTAAAGAGTAAACGGAAAAAGAGGAACACCCTTTTCGTTTAGCTTGTCCGGTCTACAAGCAAGATGAACTATTACACATGCCTCTGTGAGCAGTTCGCCGGGCTCGGGGCACAGATAACGGGGAGATTTTCCAACTTTTAACCGAAAACTTTTACAATGCAGAATCGTAGCTGTACTCAAAGACTCCGTCCCTTGTAACGTATAGTTACAGCCTACTACGACACGTTACAAGTCGAGACTACGCACACCATCGGGAGTCTTGATAGTCTTCAACCTCTCATTGATCAGGCATACCTACATATTATTCCAACATTGCTTTCCCGCGTTGCGATACATCGACATGGATGTAGACTTCGTCCAAGTCCATGTTCTCCAGGGCCTTTCGCTTCTTGGGATGATATTTGAACCACATGATGTTTGTTGATAATTAAAAGTTCCTCGTTATAATCAATTAAAGTCACTTCCACTATATATGCAAATTCACTTCACTATATATAGCATAAATCACT